ATATTGAATGACAGTACCAATGTTTGTGTTTCAGGACACATTTGATGACATTTTTAATGTAACATTCTTGATAATGTAAGAAAACCGCAAATATCTGAGAAAATCGAAACTGTAACCCTATATCGGTGAAAAGAGAATTTGATTTTCTATAATTTGGTACAAAAAATACAGGGTGCTCCAGGTAAAGGGATAGGAAATTAGGTATAGGGAAGCTTTAACATATTTGACTTATTTTTATTCTACCTTATTGAAAATGGAATAATTTTACAGGGTGTCTCACCACGAACTCCATCGATGAATATGTGGGAAACCGCTGGAAGGATTTTTTTGAAATTGTGGTGGCGTGATACGGGCCGTGGGGTCTACCACGGCAGTCTTCAACTAACAGGCCATGAACAGACCTCCAGTACGCTGTTGCCAAGTGTTAGATAGTTGTCGGTGCTGATGTTTTGGCTGGGTCTGCGAGCTGATGGTAGAGCTTTTTTTGATGAATTTTTTGTCATAGATAGCTAGTTTTTTCAAAAAATTATGGCTATGAAAACCGAATTAGTACACGCTCTCATATCCTAGGATTCTAAGAGTCTATTTTACCTATACTATTATTTTAATAAGATGCGTTTTTATCTTATTCAAAACAATAATATTAGGCTCGGTTGTTTTTTGAAAGGAATTAAAAAATAAAAGGTGAAGAATTAGGAGATACATACTTCTTGATGTCACAATCTGGTAATTGGTTTCATACTCGAATTCATATTGGCTTTTAATTTTAGAAGACGAATTGTTTTTGGTACTTATTATTTATTGAAAGTATTTAGTTTCCTTTTCTTATTTTTTGATTCGACCTTTTCGGCACTACATTGATTATTTTTCTTTTTGATATAATCGTTAAGTAAAACATTAGAAAAAATATAGCATAGCATAATAAGAATATTTGTATGTTCTTTACCACAGATACACTGACAATAAAAGTCTTTTAAAAATATATCTTGGGATACGCTAGAAAGAGTAAGATGACACAAAATATCTTTTTGTTTACACATTTTTAGAAAGTAATATTCGGTGGAAGAATCATTTATAATTTTTTCAAAGATGGTACACATTTGAAATAGGACAGTTTTTACCATGTCTATAGGAACACTTAAACCACCGCGTTGTAAATAATTAAAATACTCATTTTCTATATAAGTTCCTTTACTTTCAGTAATTAGAGAAATACAAATATTACAATTTAGTTTTCTAGATATTTTGAATGAAGCATAACCCGATATGTAAATTTGAGCCGATTCTTCTATTTGGTACTCATTTAAATATTCCGTTTCCAGTATATGTGAAAAGTTGTCGCTCTCGGTATTTTTGGGAATGTCCCAATCAAGATCAGATTCATTGCAGCAGTTTTTAGTATGTTTTTGGATTTCAGAAAGTGAAAATTTATTTCCTGAAGCCTTTCTAAATATATGTTTAAGTCTAATTTTTTTCTCTGCATTAATTATTTCATCAAAACTAACATTATAATTGCTACCACCTAATAGTCTGTATTTACCAATTTTTTTTCTAATTTTTCAGTTGTAAATTTACCAGGTAAAATGTATGATATTGCAAACTTTTCAAAAGAGTAAGTACTCAATTATTTCTAACAAAACAGAAGTACTATGTCGAAGCGCTGAATAGGTATCATTTGTAAGACGACCATTGTTGTTAAGTTTTTGCCAAGTATCTAACCATGTTATAAACTTTTTAAAAAATTCAATGCGAAATCATTTATGCATGAAATAGGTTCACACCACTTATTTCTTTTAATGACACGTGTTATTTGCAATATACCACCAATGTCTTATAATTTCCAAAAAGACGTTAGTTGAAGACTATAGGAAGACGATACCAATTTTCTTATTTTAAATGGAACCTCCTGTATATTATTGCATTTTTGGAAAGAACATTTATTTTTAATTTGAAAACGTATAGCACACTCCATTACCTACTTAGGATTGACCGTTTCCGAGATATTTTGATTTTTAGGCAAAAATTGACATGTAGACTGTCAGCAACATTTATTTTTCCCGGAAAAACAGGTTTACTTTTTTGTATGAATCGGACATTTTGTAGAGGAAGACGTAATTTATCGAATTTGACATGAAGTTCAGAAAATGTGGAAAACTCGAAATTTTTAAATGGAAACCCCCAATTTTTTTAAAGTATTCGTATTCTGTACTAAAATTGACTGCAACTTTGTTAAAATTTCCCTATACCTAATTTTATTTACGAATAAGCATTTCCCTTAAACAGGTGTTTCCATTTGTTTCGCACATTTGAGGTTGGCCATGACAGGTAAGTAACAATCAACAGGACAACTGTCGCAGGTTTTTATGATCACCTCGCTCACCAGACTTATCTGCGCTGGTTTATTTTATTTGGGGGAAAAAATAGTGTTATAGTTCTCCAGTAATAACAAAGGAAAATTGTATGGATAGAGTAAGGCAAGCATTTGAGCATCTATCACCGGATACTATTAGAGCAGCGAGCCACAAGGAACTTATTCGAAGGTGTGAAAAATGTTTAGAAGTTGAAGGAAGATATTTTGAACATTTTTTAAAATAATCAATAAATTTGACAATTAAAAATCTGTGGCAGTTGTCATGTTGATTGTTACTTAAATGTGCGAAACAAATGGAAACACCATTTTAGGAAAAAGGGTATATGTTCGTAAATAGGTAAAATGAAAACGACTGGGGTTTGGTATAGGGAAACTTTAACAAAGTTACACTTAATTTTAGTGCAGAACACAAATACATTAAAAAAATAAGGGTTTCCATTTAAAAATTTTAAGTTTACCACATTTTCTGAACTTTATATTCGATCATTATTTTTGACCACCTTGTATAAAAACTGGAAATTTTTCATGATAAATTAGGTCTTCCTCTACAAAATGGTCAATTCTCACAAAAAATAAACCTGTGTAAAACTAAATATTGCAATAATAAACAGGGGGTTCCATTTAAAATAAGAACGTTGGTATCGACTTGAAAATATTTTACCACGGTTTGTATCACACCACCACAATTTCAGAAAAATCCTTTGAGCGGTTTCTCAGATATCCATCGATGGATTTCGCGGTGAGACACCCTGTATAGGGTGTTCCATTTAAAATAACGAAGTTGACAGCTACTTCCGGCATAAGTGGAAGTGCTACAATGATGGCATTATTTTTACTGAAGAGAGTCTATTTGATTTTAGAATCAGAATCCTCGGTTTCTCTGAAACGTTTAATAGGCCACTTACCGTGAAGAACCCTGTAGGTAAAATAAAAAAAAAAACGGAGCAATAAACCAACTACTCGCGAATTAAGTGTTTTTTTAAATTAGTAACTAATATATGCAGTTGATTCCTTTTATACTAGGGTTTGCAATCCCGCAGTCTTTTTTTTCCAGCTGGAAATTTGCGGTAAATTCGCCTTTACAGCGGGATTCCGCTGTAATTCCCGTGGGAGATTTAAAAATATATTTATGTATGAAAATAATAATGCTATTATTGTGGAATGTTTATATTTAATCAAATGAAATATAAATAATTCTTGGTATTTAAAAATCAACAGATAAGTATTATATACATTAAAAACTATGTTTATTAACTAGGAATCAATAGAAATCAACACATCAATAATATATTACTTTTGTTATTTTTACATAGATATTATTATGTCTCTAGTTACTTAACGTACTTGTTGCTGTTAAATTACTAAATATAAACATCTAGGTTAGGTTAGTAATTTAATCGTAGTAACAATTTCTAAAAAAATATTTGCTAGATACGTCGACAATATACTGCCTTACTTCGGAATATGACAGTTTAGAGAAAATTGCAGAGATATTAGGCATACTTCATTTGGCTTTCATTAATTTACTAATTAAGATAATAACATGTTTTTTTCGGTAACAGCAAATGAAAAACAAATATTTTTAATGTATTTGAAGTATGTTAGAAAACATTGCAATTTCAATAAAAACAGCGTCGAAAATGTTGTTTTGCCTTAATAAATTTAAGATTTTATATAATGCGATATAGATTTCGAAAATGTAATTATCTCAATTTGTCACAAAACTGCATATATGGTCTTTTTCCGAAATAGGGCAGTATAGTATAATTAAAGTAACATACAAGAAGACAAAGCTATTAGTTACGTATAAAATTTCACATTGTAAACACTTTTTTTCTCGAAAATAAACAAACGGATCAAGGAATTTGTTTGAATGATGCAAAGATCGATGATTGTTCGATGCTGTCACAGGGAACGGGATGCGCACGCAAACCAAACGGGGCGCTCGCTCGCGCCACGCGCTATGTCGCTAAACGGCTATTCAAAAATTTCCCGCGCGGGAATTACCGCAAAAATGCGGGAATTCCGCAGGTCTCATTGACATGCGGGAAATTGCTGGAATGCTGTAACGCGGAATGCGGGATTGCAAACCCTATTTTATACACTTACTCCAAAATAGCGAAAAACTTTATTAAATACAAATTAATAAAAAAAATTACTAAAATTGCATAGGAATGTTTAAAATGTAATATCGTAACTATATAAGCAAAAACAATAGGGTTTTCCATTTACATTCTGAAAATTGTAACTAAAAAACCTATCTTGTATTTCAGAATGGCATATATGTTTTAGATAGTACGTCAAATACAACTCGAAATTCAAACGAGGTTTTCTTAAATTAAAGCCTTTCTGAAAAATGTCTGAAAATTAATAGTGAGTGAATTAAAAGGTCGTGCTTCAATGGAGAATTAGGGGATTTAAAAATCCCTTAAATTCTTTTTTTATTGCAATATTTGTTTTTACTATATGGTCAATCGTAAGACAAAAGAGGGGTTTTGTATAACAAAATACCCTCGAAAATATCGGTTCCTCATGTTTAAATGTACTATTATTCACCAATAAGAAAACAAGAAACTTAAATTAATGCTACAGCTATAACTAAATATAAACAAACAGAAAAATAACTTACTTGTATCCAACATTTAGGGCAGTTTGGAAAGGAGAGAAAAAAATAGCACCGGAAAATAAATGGGTACAGAGTATCCTATAAAAGAAAAACAAAAAATGAATAACGTGGTACATAATAAGCCAATCTGATGTATGGTAAATTATAACAAATTAAACTAAAGAAGCAGGTGAATATGAAACGCGGTATTTTGGGGCACATCTAAAATTAAATTCACTTACAAAGACAGTTACTGCATTCTGTGGCGATGTATTGGTAAATCAGCCAGCTTTCGAGTTCTACTATCGCCGTCATGACTTTTAGGCAAGGATATCGGCAGTGAAATTATTTTTAGACCATCTGTAAAAAAACAAAACAACCATTAATGTTTAATTAAGGATATTTTACGATATTTGTTATTAAACAGGACGTTAATAGTTCGCTAAATTCGAATTCCAGACGTGTAAATCATGCTGCTATAATCGACGCAATTACATACACCAATGAACCCTTTGTAACACATGTACTTCTACATTTCTTTACCAAATTTTCGAATACACAGCACCCATTTAGCTTAATTTTTTTACATTTTATTCCCATCATTACCATCTAAATTAGAGGTGGTAAAAATCGCTCTTCAGCAAGGACCGAAACAATACGGTATGTATTTACATATAAAATATATATAATATATGTATAAATTTACATAATAAAAATTCAATAAATAAGGGGTGAAAATAAGTCGATTTAACCTAACATACCTATATCCCAAGTCGCATAATAAAAAATATACAGGGTGTCAAAGTGAAAAATAAAAAATTCCTTAATAATTTTTATAATTTTAGTCAGAAATTGTTTCAAATTTTCAACATAGAGGTTTTTTAATGAGAAAAATAATAAAATAATGGTTTTTGAGTGTCGAGTACGAGGCGCCCTCTGCAGGCAACGTTCTGCATTGAATATGTAGTAACTTTTTTGCCAACCCCCGTATACAGCTTTTAGTAACAAAATATGAAATATTAAACTTCTTTGAACAAAAAACGTATACTTATTGAAAATGGCTAAAGCCAACCGTTGAGGAGATATTTTTAATTTCATAAATTAGTGTTACGGATTTATACCTCCACGAATACCAAGGTTTGAGTTGCTAAAATAAATTAAACAATCGAATAGGTAAATGTCATAATACTCGTAAATTGCAATTTTGAAGTATTAGTTTAAAGTGTTAATTGATTTTAGTCATTATTTACCTGCCTGCGTCCTAGATATTAAATAGTTTTGGAATTGAATAAAATAACAAACTATGTATACTAATGAGTATGTCGATATGTTGCAAGTATTTTTTGAATGTTACAAGAACTGTGTTGCTGCTGTACGACTTTATCATGCCAGATATCCCAATCGTCGTATTCCTGCTAGAAAAACATTTTCGGCGGTAGAAAGAAAACTTTGAGGAAACAGACACATTCAACCTCTTCTGAAGGTATTGACAGAAGACGTCTTATTCGCGATGTAGAACTTGAAGAAGTTGTCCTTGGCAATTTACAAGACCAGACTTCTGAAACTAGTACCAGAAAATTGGCGACACAGTATAACGTTTCACATACTACGACTTGGAAAATTGCGAATGATAATCTTTTATACCCCTACCATCTACAACCTGTGCAGGAACTGACTGCTGCGGATTTACCTAACAAGTATATGAACATTTCAAGGGAAAACAGAAATATTTTATCCAGTATTTTGTTTGGTGATGAAGCGTCATTTCAGACATGGTTTAGTGAACCATCACAATAATCACTCATGATCAGACGAACATCCTCATTAAGTTTGTACATCCAAATTTCAACATAATTTTAATTTAAATGTATGGGCAGGAATCGTAGGAGGTTATCTTATTGGTCCGTTTCTTCTTCCTCGGCGTCTCGCCGGAGCCGAATATTTGAGATTTTTTAATGAGCAACTCCCAATATTGCTTGAAGACGTGTCACTAGCTATCCGTGAAAACATGTGGTACGCACATGACGGAGCTCCTGCTCATACTACATTAGCTGTTAGACAATGGTTAAATTTAAATTTTCCTGAGAGATGGATAGGTAGAGGGAACGATGCACCAGTCAAATGGTCTGCGCGATCACCGGATCTCACACCCATGGACTATTTTTTATGGGGTCACTTAAAAAATATTGTTTATTCCAATCCTATTAATAGTGTGGAGATGCTTCGTCAAATAATTTTTACAGCAGCTGAGGAAGTAATGAATGACATACATATTTTTTTAAGAGTTCGTCGTAATTTTAATCGTAGTTGACAGGAAAATGGAAATTACTTCGATTATATAATTCATTAGAAATTTAGCCAATAGCAATTACAAATTTTACGTAGTTACTATGTATTGATAAGCGATTATACTCTT